TTGGTGCCACTTCTCAAGTATCTCCCTTCCCTCTTCCACCCTTGTGTAATGTGATTTCTGCTGCCCCCTTGAAGAGATACAACTGTTTCAAAATTTATTATGCTGGGGGTCACTTAGACCCCTGCAGTGTTATAAAATAAAAAAATATGTTCTATCTCTTTTTTAAAAAATCAGATAATTTTTATCTCCATGGTTCTGGTAGGTTTGTTTTTGTTTGTTTGTTGTTTTTGTTTGTTTGTTTTTTGTTTTGTTTTGTTTTTTTATCATAGTGGTATTTCTCATATTCGCACCAGAATCAGCTGTCTTTGTTATTTGTTTGTTTGTTTATTTGGGGGAGGGGGGTTGTAGAGGAGCAGAGAGAGAGAGAGGGAGAGAGAGAGAGAGAGAGAGAGAGAGAGAGAGAATCCCAAGTAGGTTCCGCACTGTCAGCCCTGAGCCTCAAGTGGGGCTCAATCCCATGAACTGTGAGATCATGACTTGAGCCGAAATCAAGAGTCAGACCCTCAAACCACTGAGCCACCCAGGTGCCTCTCAGCTGTCTTTATTTGTATAGACATTTACAGGATTCTTTATTCCTGGACCTCACCAAGGTTGCCATTCTCTTTTCACTGTGCTGAAGAAAATCTAGACGGCAATAATAGCTAGAAATATTACTGGATTTTAGATGGCACCTCCCCCAACCACCATTAAAAACAAATAATTGGAGAACAGTTAGTAGAGTTTTCATTAACATTAAGGTGCTTTTTAGGGTCAAATATCCTTTCTTATAAATGATCCAGAAAAATACTTAATGTTGTGACCCAATTTTTAAAATATTAACATAGAGTATTGTTTTTTGGTATATGAAAATGTCATTGTCATATATGAAGTTGGCAAAATACCATGACAAAGGGTATGTATTTAATACCACTCTGAATAACAGTGATTTGTTATTACTGCTAATACAGTGTTGTGGTGGTTGGGGTCAGAGAGAAGAGAGCCCGCATTTGCTGAGGATCATGTATATATAAATAATAAACTGTGTCTGTAAAGTAGATGCACTTAGGTTATCTAATCAATTGGAAATTTAAAGAAAAAAATTGGAAGCCATGATGTGAATTTTTATTTTAATGGGAAATTTTTGAAAATCGGTATTTTAGCAAGAGGTTAGTTATCTGCGAGATTAGACCAATAGCCTGTGTGATTGATGTTCTTGGATGAAAACAGGTCTCCCTCCCATGCCCAGCATGAAGAACCCTGTCCCAAAGATCCAGATGGATGGGGCATATCTCTTTGACCCTTTACATCCTGTAATGATGGATTTTTGTCACAGAGTTGACCAGAATGCGAAGTTTCACTCAGCTGTTTGCTTCATACTGTATACAGTCTTCCTTCATTTTGCCATTACTCAACCTTCTCTGTAATCCCTTTCTTGATAACCTCACCACAACAAATGATTAAGCCTTTCTGTTGTTTCTTATAGTTGAATCAGAGCAAGTGATTAATGAGGTGCCCAGTTCCAAGGACAGAGAGACATCCTCATACCCCAAGGCTCTTTCTGCCTCTGCCTTTATTTGGTGTTCAAGTGTGTCTTTACATGAGTTTATGACATCTCCATGTAAGCTTTAAATTCCTAAAGACAAGGAATGTGTGTTCTTTTCTCTGTCCCCCACATTCTTAATGCTTTTGCTCAGTATATTTCTTTTTTTTTTTTAATTTTTTTTTAACGTTTATTTTTATTTTTGAGACAGAGAGAGACAGAGCATGAACGGGGGAGGGGCAGAGAGAGAGGGAGACACAGAATCGGAAGTGGGCTCCAGGCTCTGAGCCATCAGCCCAGAGCCTGACGCGGGGCTCGAACTCACGGGCTGTGAGATCGTGACCTGAGCCGAAGTCGGACGCTTAGCCAACTGAGCCACCCAGGCGCCCCTGCTCAGTATATTTCTGATTGAGCTAATGAATGTTGTCTTGTTCCTGCTCATTTACATCAAGTATCTGCAAGCTTAATATGGTGTTACCAGAGTATTGACCCTCCTAGTAAATTCTCAGTTACCATTTTCCATAAAACCCCACATGCTCCATGCCTTTCTCTTGCCTTCTGTTCTTCAACCCATAGGCCACTTCCCCTTTTACAGATCCTTTGAAGAATCATTTTTCATGCTTGAACCAGGGGAATGCTTACAAACCACATGTAAAAAGAAATAGTATGTTTGTGTGACTAATTGTGGATTGTAAACAGTTTGAAGGCAGAGACTTTAACTCATGCTTTTAACCAGTGTCTGTCATCTAGTCCAGCATTTTTCACAACTGGGAATTTTTTTCTTTAAAAACTACATTTTTTTTTCCCCTCATGGCAAATGTGTTAATTTGTTTGAAAGTCTTTTGTCATTTTATAGAGTGGTGACCTTTGTCCAGATGACTGTTCATCTGACAAACCCAGCCCATGTGCCTTTTACTTGGACACAGTAATGATGCATGTGTCTGCTACTTCCATTTGCACCTCACCCTACCATTTGTCACTTTCCACCTTCAGATGGGAGGCAAGGCTATTTGTCTGCCTCAGCCTAAAATGTGAATCCCCCATGCAGGTGAATGCAGTAGAGTAGGGTGTCTCTCAGATCACATTTGATTCCTCCAAATCTATTCTGCTGTTGGTGGTAAATTCTAGTTTCGTTCGCCTTGCATCCTATTTTAATTATTTTTGTAAGAAACGTGGAACTGTATTTTTCCATTATTTTGTGTCTGCCTTCCTTCTGCATGTACCCGTGTATCAATGTGCAAATGTACAGCTTTTAAGTTTAAAAAAAGAAAGTTTATTCAGAAAACTTGACTTAAGGTAATTTGGGGATAATTCTAAACCATTGATTATTAACATACGAACACTTACGTTGTATTACCTACAGTACAGTTTTTGTTCATATGATTTAAAGTGAAAAGATAGAAAAAGTTTATTTGGATTATATACGCTTTCTTATACCAAGGATAAAAGAACCGTTTTTCCTGTTGGGTTAAATAAAAAGCTGTTGGGAGTGCATACTAAATTAGTTTACTTTACACATGGTGTGACCATTTCAAAAGGCAAGCTTATGGGATTGTAGCAGTTGTATTGATTTAGTAAAGTTTCCAGCAGTTAGTCACATATAATTGAATACATGTAAAATACATTTTTATTAGTTGATATGACTTTTAGCACTATATAATGAATAGCAGTGAATGTATTTCATTTAGTTCTATGGTCACAGAAGGGGAAAGAAGCATCAGAGTTGGGAGAGTTATAGGAGGCAGTCACAGAAAAGTAAAGGGGAAGGGAGGAAGGGAGGATATTGTCAGTGAAGGTTGAAACCTCCAAGACATAGAGTCTGATGGATTAACTGCAACACCACACATCGCAGCTCTTAGCCTGCTCACACTTGCAGTCGAAATCCTACTATGTTGATACTTCACACATATTTCATTTTTTACCAAATGACGTTTTATGGCATTGCTCTTTACAGCAAGACTGTCGGCACCTTTTTTTCCAACAGCATTTGCTCACTTCATGTCTCTGCCACCCTTTGGTAATTCTTGCAGTATTTCAAACTTCTTCATTATTATGTTTGTTGTGGTGATCTGTGATCAGTGATTGATTACAGCTTGCTGAAAGCTCGGATGATGGTTAGCATTTCTTAGCAACAAAGTACTTTTAATTAAGATATTTCATTGTTGAGGAGCCTGGGTAGCTCTGTCGGTTGAGCTTCTGACTCCTGATTTCAGCTCAGGTCATGATCCCAGCGTCGTGGGATCAAGTCCCACATTGGGCTCCATGCTGAGCATTGAGCCTCCATAACACACACTCACTCTCTCGCTCTCTGTCTCTGTCTCTCTGTCTCTCTCCCTCTCTCCCTCTGCCCCTCTCCCCTGCTTGCTCTTTCTCTATCTATTAAAAGAAAGGAGGGGGGGGCACCTGGGCAGCTCAGTTGGTTAAGCGTCCAGCTTGGACTCAGGTCATGATCTCACAGTTTGTGAATTCAAGCCCACCTCAGGCTCTCTCCTGTCAGCTCAGAGCCCACTTCAGATCCTCTGTCTCCCTCTCTCTCTGCCCCTCCCCTGCTCTCTCTCTCTCTCAAAAAGAATAAACGTGAAAAATGTATATTATTTTTTAAAATAATGCTACTGTACACCTAATAGACTGTAGTATAGTGTAAACATAACCTTTATACACATTGGGAAACCAAAAAATCCATTTGACTGGCTCTATTGGGACACTCCCTTTATTGTGGTAGTCTGGAAGCAAACCCACAGTATCTTTGAGGTATGCTTGTGCTCTTTCCTCTACATGGCCCAGCGTCTTCAAATAACTAAAAAGTTATACATCAGTTTTCCCTACCTTGTTCCCCTTCTCCCACTCTTGATCTCAGCTTGTTTATCCCCAAACTGGTCACTTTGCTCTGTTAAGTGTGCCTGTATTTACCTTACCCGTATGTCAAAGCACAGATTTAATTTTTGCCATACTTACCAAATTAAGCAGTGAACAGAATCTGGTTTCTGGCTCTGGTATTGACTAACAGTTTGTAATGTGTACCTGATACCCACTTTGAAGTTGGTGCCATGCTGTACACCCTTGTTTACAATGACCCTACATATTGGTGATATTGTTCTCAATTTATGGAAACTTAAGGGTGAGACCCAGAGAGGTATGTTCTGCTTCTTTGGTCACATAGTGCTAGGGTTTGAACTCTGATGTTTCAGTCTTTACCTTACAAATAACTCCCTCTTAATCATGGTAAGACATCTTTTTGGATGCTTAAAAAAAAATGTGGGTCGAAAGAAACAAATGTGCTGCCTCTGTACCCTTCTTCCACAAATGAACTTTCTAGTAGTTAAATGCATGCTGAGATTGCCATTCAATAAGTAAAACCACAGAAGTTATTGAAAGTAATTTTTCCTTCATTTTGTAATGGGGGAGGGGGGATGAGATATGAAGTCTGTTAAAACTTTCAATCTATATATTAATTAAAATCTTATCTATTCTTTATTTATAGTATAAAGATGCATTTATGAAAGCGAATCCTGGCTATAAATGGTGTCCTACCACAAACAAGCCTGTGAAATCCCCAACACCCACTGTTAATCCACGAAAGAAACTGTGGGCCTTCCCATCTGAGTCTTCAAGAGATTTGCCAAGCCCCAAGAAAGCAAAGACCGAAGAAATGCCTCAGCTAAACTTTGGAATGGCTGGTGAGTTTAGACATTATTTCTATCTTCTACCTGTTCTTTTTTTTTTTTTTCCTTTCTTTCTTTTTTAGGGAGAGAGCTCAAGCAAGGGAGAAGGGCAGAGGGAGAGAGAGACAGAATCCCAGCAGTCTCTGTGCTGTCAGCACAGAGCCCATCATAGGGCCCAATCCTACAAACTGTGGGATCGTGACCTCAGCTGTAATCAAGAGTCAGACACCCAACTTACAGAGCCACCCAGGTGCTCCTCTACCTGTTTTTTGTTTTTGTTTTTGTTTTTGTTTTTTTTTTTAAGGATAAGGCAATACATTTAGGTAGTACTTTTAATAAATAATCTATAGAGAGAAAGAGAGTGAAGGAAGTAAAATTTATAACCAGTGTGCAGCATTGCAAATATAGCATATCTGAAAGCTTTGGAACATGATATACATAGAATGTGTATGTATAACTAAAGGAAGTGTGAACCAAGTAGTAGAGTCATACATATATGTGAATTTCTGGCATTGACATTATGGAAAGCAGACCGCAAGGTGGAGATTAAGAGCTCAGGGCATTTTATAATGTAACAAAGTAGCTTAAACATACATACACACTATTAGCTATCCTAGTAAGTATCTTAGTTATCATGGGTTCTTATAAAGCCATAATTAATGTTGATCATTTGAGGATCTGAAACCTCAAGGGCAAGAATATGAACAGTTCCATCACAAGTCTGAGATGAATCTGACAGCTGTTTCTTAGAGGGAATTCCCATTCTACCCGCCATCCCCCTTCTGCCCCCATTCCTGTATGACCCAGGCAAATGAAAACTTCCAGATGGCCCCATTTGTTATGGGGCCTTTAATACTCTTTGGGTGGTAAGGAATGCTAGAGCATTTATTACCATGAAATAAAGTACTTACATTCATTCTGCACATGGCTCTGTCTTCCCTGGCTGTTGCAGTGCAGTAATCAAGAGAGAAATTTTCCAGGATGAAGTTGGGAGATTGAGCAGGGTGGAAACTATGAAGTTGGTATAGAGCTATATGGTTCCTATTTCATTATTCATTATAAACAAATTTTCTTCAAAATGAGAGCATGAACCATTTACAGTATGGGGAACCTGGGAAAGCAGGATGAACAATATTGGGATTAACACCTTTTTAATCCAGTTTTTTAATCCAGTTTTATTGAGCAATAATTGACCTACATTAATGTATAAGTTTAAGACCTACAGACTGATGGTTTGATTTACATATATTGTGAAATGATTACAATAGGTTCAGCTAACATCTATCTCCTCCTATAGATAGAATAAAAAAAGAAAAGGGAAAAGAGGGAAAAAATTTCTCCTTGTGATTAGAACTCTTAGAATTAACTCTCTTAACAACTTTCCTGTATGTCATATAGCAGTGTCAGCTGTACGTATAATGTTGTACATTATATCCATAGTACTTTCTTATCTTGTAATTGGAAACCTGTGACCACCTTTCCTCCAATTCTTCCTTCCTCCATGCTGTTTCTCTGCCAATCACAAGTCTGATTTCTTTCTGTGATTTTTTTTTAAGATTCCACATATAACTAGGATCATATAGCATTTATCTTTCTTTGACTTATGTCACTTAGCATAATGCCTTCAGTGTGCATCCATTTCTTCACAAATGGTAGGATTCCCTCATTTTTTATGGCAGAATAATATATCATTGTGTATATATGTGTATATTAAATCGCATCTTCTTTATTCATTCATCCATCAGTGGACACGTAGGTTGTTTCTATGTAAACATGGAACATTTTCTACAATAGACCATGTGTTGCCACAGAACAAGTCTTAGCGAATTCAAGAAAATTAAAACCATACCAAATGTCTTCTGACCACAATGGCATGAAACTAGAAATCAAAAGCAAGAGGAAAGCTGGAAAATTGAAAAACTCATGAAAATTAAACAACAGTCTATAGAACAATCGATGGATCAAAGAAGAAATTAAAGGAGAAATAAAAAAGTTTCTTGAGATGAACGAAAAATGGAGACCTAACACTGCAGAATTTGCAGTTCTAAGTGAGAAGTTTATAGCAACAAATGCCCACATTAAGAGGCAAGAAAGATCCCCAGAACAACCTAACTCTGTGCCTTAAGAAACTAGAGAAAGAAAAACAGAGCTCAGGCTAGTGGAAAAAGGGAAATAAGACAGATTTGATCATAAATAAATGAAATAGAGAACAGAAAAACAAGAGAAAAAGTTAATGAGACTAAGAGTTCATTCTTTGAAAAAATAAACCTATAGCCAGACTAACCACAGAAAAAATATAAAGGACTCAAATTTAAAAAATTATAAATGAAAAAGACATTGCAACTGATACCACAGAAATACAAAGGATCAGTAGAGGCTACTATGAACAACTATATGCCAACAAACTGGACAACCTAGGAGAAATGGAGAAATGTTTAGAAACCTACAACGTACCAGCACTGAATTAGGAAAAAATAGAAAATCTTAATAAACCAATTATGAGTAAGGAGATTGAGTTAGTAATAAAAAATTTCCCAATGAAGGAAAGCCCAGGATCAGATGGCTTACCTGGTAAATTTTACCAAACATTTAAAGAATTAACACTAGTTCTTCTCAAACTCTCCCAAAAATATCAAAGAGGAGGGACAATTCCCAAACTCATTTTATGATAGCCATCATTATTCTGATACCAAAATCAGAAAGGGACACTACTAGGAAAGAAAACTACAAACCAATATTCCTGACAAATAATAGATTCAAAAATTCTCAAAATACTAGCAAACTGAATCCAGCAGCACATTAAAAAGATCATTCACTTTGATCAAGTGGGATTTATCCTGGGGATGCAGGGATAGTTCAACACCTAGTGACCATCTCAATAAATACAGAAAAAGCACTTGACGAAATCCAACATCCATTCATGATAAACACTCTTAACAAATTAGTCACAGAAGAAAGGTATCTTAACATGATGAAGGCCATATAGAGAAAGCCCACAGGTGCCTCATAATAGTGAAAGGCTGGAAGCTTTTCCTTTAAGGTCAGGAATAAGACAACTGTGTCTCTCATCACTCTTATTCATCATCACACTAGAAGTGCTAGCTAGAGCAATAGGCAAGGAGAAGAAATAAAGAAAAAAAAAGTTTTGAAAAGAAGTAAAATTTTCTGTTTGCAGATGACATGACTTAATATTTGGAAAATCCTAAAGACTTAACCAAGAAACTATTGGATCTAATCAACGAATTCAGTAAAGTTGCAGGATATGAGGTTAACATATAAAGATAAGTAGTGTTTCTATACACTAACAACAGATATTCTGAAAAAGGACTAAATCGATCCTATTTACAATAGCATTAAAACAATAAAATAGTAATAAATTTAAATAGGTAAAAGATCTTCAAAAACTACAAGAAACTGATGAAAGAAATTGAAGAAGACACAAATAAATGGAAAGGTTTTCTGTGTTTATGGATTGAAAGAATTAATATTGTTAAGACAATATAGCCAAAAGCCATCTATAAAGAAATCCCTACCAAGATTCCAATGGCAGTTTTTACAGAAATAGAAAGGACACCCCTACAATTTATATGGAGCCACAAAAGACCCTGAATAGCCGAAGAAATCCTGAGAAATGAGAACAAAGGAGGAGGCCTCATACTTTCTGATTTCAAGCTATAAACCCATAATCATTAAGACATAAAAACAGACATATAGACCAATGGAAGAGAATCAGGATCCCATAAGTAAACCCAAACTTACACAGTCAACCAATATCTGACAAGGGAACCAAGAATACTAAATGGAAAAAAGATCGTCTTTTCAATAAATGGTGCTGGAGTAATTGGATATTCACATGTAAAAATAAATGAAACTGGACCCATATCTTAAACCATAAAAAATTAACTTGAAATGGATTAAAGACTTAAATACGAAATTTGAGACTATGGAAATCCTAGAAGAAAACATAGGAATAAAGCTCCTTGACATAGGTCTTGGTAATGGTCTCTTTTGGATGTGGCACCTAAAGCACAAGCAACAAAATTAAAAATCCAAATATCCAAAAATCTGTAAGTAATTCCTACAAGTCAGTAGTAAAAAACAGAAACAAAACCCAAGTAAAAAGTGGGCAGAGGACCTGAATAGACATTGATCCAAAGAAGATGTACAAATGACCAACTAGGTACTTCAAAAGACACTCAACATCACTAATCAATAGGAAAATGCAAATTAAAAAGCCACAATGAGATACCACCTCAGCTTCTTAGAATGAACATCATCAGAAAGACCAGCAAGAACAAGTGCTGGTGAACAGGTAGAGAAAAGGGAACCCTTGTGCACTGTTGTAAATTGGTGCACCCACTAAGGGAAAAGTGTATGCAGGATCCTTAAAAAATAAAAGAAAGAACTTAGTGATTCAGTGTGTGATTCATAGTATAACAAAGTATGTGGTGTTGTCATATATGAACACTAAAAAATGCAGTCTGATGGGCACCTGGGTGGCTCAGTTGGTTAAGCATCCAACTTTGGCTCAGGTCATGATCTCACGGTTCATGGGTTCGAGCCCTGTGTCAGGCTCTGTGCTGACAGCTCAGAGCCTGGAGCCTGCTTCCGATTCTGTGTCTCCCTCTCTCTCTGCCCCTCCCGTGGTCATGCTCTGTCTCTCGCTCTCAAAAATAAATAAACATTAAAAAAAGGGGGGGAGGGGAAGAAATGCAGTCTGACATAATAGCATCCTGAGGAAACAAAATCTTCAGGTAGTTGTCATGTAGGTGTCTATGGTATAATTCTAGGTAAACCACCAAAATGATCCTCCTATGTATCCCAGAAGAATCAAAATGCAGGGCTCTTACTTTTAGCTGTCATTGTACAACTGTAGTTTCATTCTCCTTCCAGCAGTCTTGGTGAGCCCTGTGGACTTTCCAGATTATATCAGTTGCAGTGTTTCATAATAAAACATTTTATCATCAGGATCATAAAAGACTCTATGGATGATTGGCTGGCAATGGAATTCCTTTAATTATCGTTTGTCTTCCACAGCTTTTGCTCCCAGTTCTAAATCAACAACAGTAGGTGTTTTTCATACAATGGCTCTTCACAAACCAATAATAATTGTAGATAAAGCTATGAAACCTTCGAAAACTATGAAAGATGTCTGTTTTTTATACCATTTTTGACAGTTTATTTATCTGCCTTTCATACCTACAAATCGAACTGTCTGAGACCTAGACATCAACCAAGATTTTTACAGGTCAGCTTTACAAAAACAATGTTCTTTTAAAGTAAAATAAGGACAGAAAACACCTTCTTGAGTTTGTGTCATTCTGTGAGGGTCAGTGACATATGTTGGTACTCCATGGTCATGGCCTTGTTGAGATGGTGTATGTATAGTGGATAACACTGTTGTGATATTTCCAGTGGTATCTCTCACAACACAATGAAAGCAAATAGATTTGCCTTTAATTAAAACATGGTGCCTAGGGCTGCCTGGGTGACTCAGTCGGTTAAGTGTCCGACTTCGGCTCAGGTCATGATCTCAACGGTTCGTGGGTTCAGGCCCCACGTCGGGCTCTGTGCTGACAGCTCAGAGCCTGGACCCTGCTTTGAATTCTGTATCTCCCTCTCTCTGCTTTTCTCTCTCTCTCTCCCTCTGTCTGTCTCTCTCTCTCTCTCTCTCTCAAAAATAAATAAACATTAAAAAAAATTTTTTTTAAACATGGTGCCTAGCTGTTTGAATCTGAGGGATCCTTACAGGGCCTTTAAAGGACAATTTAAGCTTTTCCTCAACATGGAGCCTCTTCTGTTTTTCCATTAGTCCTTGTCACATGAGATTTTGCTATTTTCAATAATCCCAAAGCAGCTAAATGTATGATTTCCAAGAAGGGAAAGTGCTATAGAATTTAATTGAGTACAGGCCTTGTTGGTAAAGGGAAAGCATGCTATCTGTATATTTTTGATGTTCTAGATAACATTATGTAAGTGTAAATTAATGTAAAGGATGATGGCAATTTTTTGGTCTGTGTTTTATTATCTGTACAGCAAACTTCTTGAAAAGTTACATTGGTACATAACTGAAATAAATCGTCAGGTGAGCATGTTCCTATTTTACTTTATATTTGAACTAAAACATTTTTATTTCTATTAGAAAGCAATCATCCAGTCCTCCTGATCCCTAGAATGACAGCTGTAAGACTATTTAGCTGCCCTAAAGAACCAAATTAAAATTTTACTTTCTGCTGAATTTATTTCCCCCTCCTTATTTTGATTTTAAACAGATTTAAGTGTCTAGTTTAACAAAGCACAGTTCTTAAACTCAACATTTAATTAAAAGTGGAATCTTAAAACAACAGCAAAGTGCCTTGTTTCATCATTAAAGCTAGAGTTCCTGTGTTTTCTGTATGTGTATCTTCCTGTGTGGCTACTTTCCAACACTGAGCTATTTCTAGACCACCTGATAATTTGGTGGCCTGTTTTCCCCTATGATAACCTTTTTCTTTTTTTTTTTTTTTTTTTTAATAACCTCAGATTATTTTTTCAATTTTTAAAAAAATTTGTATACAAGATGTGGTCAGAGTTGCTTCATGAGTAAGACAGATTGTATACAAGGATATACTTAAGGTCATATCTTTAAACAGAAAAGAAAAACACCTCAGTGTCTTCACGCAAGAGTATGCCTGATTCTCTTTAAAAAAAAAAATTGTTTGTTTATTTTTTAGGGGGAGGGGCAAAGAGAAATAATCTCAAGGAGGCTCCATGCTTAGCATGAAGCCCAGTGTGGGACTTGATCTCACAACTCTGAGGTCATGACCTGAGCCGAAATCAAGAGTTGGAGGCTTAACCAACTGAGCCACCCAGGCGCCTCTGATTCTCATTTTTAATTTAGGAGAGATTCCTAAAAATAAAAACGTATTTATTTAGGACCTATATGCACTAGGACAGGCACTGAGTTAGGCACTGTCATATATGTTATTTCATTGCAGATCTAAAACTTAATTCATTTAAGATAATCTTAAAGGATATAGGTTTGTTATTGTTTTTAATCCTTTACTTGTTTAGGGGCGCCTGGGTGGCTCTGTCCGTTGGGCATCTGATTCTTGATCACAGCTCAGGTCTTGATGTCATGAGTTTAAGCCCCACGTTGGGCTTTGCACGGGGCATGAGGTCTACTTAAAAAAAAAAACAAAACAAAACTTGTTTAATTATACCTCTGGATTGTAGATCTACCACATTGCTGTTTTTATTTTGTCCTTTTGTTTCCGTTGGTTATTGAAGGAAGAGAATAAAGACCTTCACTAATATAAAAAGGATTCATTTAAAATCTTAAAAGTATTTCAAAGAAGGGCCTGACTATACTCCTAAGATTTAAAATATCAAAAATACATCATTATCTAGTGTAAATTTGTTTTTGAAAGTTTTAGAGAAAGATTATTTCAACGAAGCCCACTAGTAGATTTTGGAAGGCCCATTTATAAAATTTGTCTCTGTTCTGTAGTTTCTCATATAGTCTGGTTTTTGTATCAGCCCTAATTTTACATGGTAGAAATAGTTTGAGAATGACAATATCAAACTTCTTAGACATTAAGTATAAGTACTCTTTTGGTTTGTTTTTTTTAATCCATCTAAATTCCCCATTCAGTAAGGCACGAAGTATCACATGAGAAGATAATTCATATTCTAAACAACTATGGAACTGAAGAACAGGTTATGTTGGAATGGTGGGACAATAGTTGAATTTAAAAGGCTCACAAAAGTATGAGTACATACTTAAGCACATATGCTAGGTTATTGCTATATAAAGAGTTTTGAAAGTTTTCTATAAAAAGTTATATATGGTTCTGTTGGATTCTGAGTCTTTGTTAGTATTCCCTTTCGACTCTGTGGATTGTATGTACCTCATGCTTGTGGATTGATGATTTATTTCTTGTTGACTTTTTTAGATCCTACTCAGATGGGAGGCCTGAGCATGCTACTTTTAGCTGGAGAACATGCTCTTGGAACATCAGAGGTAAGGTGGTCCTCATCCCTGACCGCTCTGCTCACGCTGGGGCTTGAAAACACAGACATCTGTATTCTATTCACAATGTTTTGTAGTTTCACTGTTTATAGCTCATAAGCAAACTTTACTTCTCTTTTTCTTTTCTTTTTGTCAAGATCTATTTGTGCTTTGTATTGTGCCTTGAGTATAACAGTAGTGGTATAAATAAGTCCAAGAGGACACAAACAAGAAGTCAGGTGCAGATTTTTGAGGTTCTGTGAACCTGAGAGAAAGAAACGGAATATACCGAATGTTAGCATCTGCCATGATTGTGTCATGGTCTGTAGGGCAGGTCCTAGGACTCATTCCATCTACTCATAACATACCCTGTTTTTTGTGATGTTCTCATGTAGACTTGCTAGTGAAAAAATGAGAGTTTAATTGTCAATCTCTCTGGTACCTGAATAAATCCAGACTCCTGTGTATGAAACATGGCACTCCAAGATTGCTTTATTCTTTAAAATGGAAAACAAAAAGGACCCAGGCCCTCATGACCTTGGTTTTATGATCTCTTATTTTCTTGCAGTTTCTGGACTGCTTTTACAAAACATTTTTAGGTATGATTTTGATGGGCAGGTAGTAGCAGTTAAGCATGCATAGTTTGCATTTGTGAAATTTCTTGCTTTTCCAGGGCCATTTAACAGAGGCCAGACAAATTAACCTGCAGGTCATATTGTTTTACCAACATCAGCTACTTGAGATGGAGATTTTTCAAGCCCGACCAGAATCGCTATTTACAGCAACATAGCAGTCATCTCATTCTACTGCAGATGCATGTATTTTCTACTTTTTTTAAAAGTTACCAGTATGCCATACAGTGGATACTTATATCACAAAGGCCATTATTATGTGTTGTTTACATTTGTGATCCATAGTTGGTGACCGTATATTCAGTTTAACATAATTATTTTGATTCCATTCAATTCAGTGTAGCAAAAGAATATGTAAATTGGTATTCTGGTAGTTACTTACATGGTACTAATCCCTAGCTGAAAAAAATAGACATGTCACTTTGTGCCTTTACATACTTGTTATTCAGCATGTTTTTACTTCCTGACACACTAGAATTCTCAGGAAGTCATTTCCCTTTCTGACACATGGCTGCTACCTAATAGGAACCAGACTGACTCTCACTTAGGTGTAGAGTATCCCAAGCATGAATCCCAAGCTGAATTTTGGAATACTAATGCACACTTGACCTTTCAAGACAGTATGACTCATGATTCCCAAGAATGTGCTGTATTGTTAAAGTTGGCATCACCTTTTCTAACAGACTATACTATAATGATGTTTTCTTCCCAACTTCTGTTACCATTCTTTCTAACTCTCAGGAACACGTTTAAATAAATAAACATCCATCCATAGAACTTACAGATAGATAAAAATAGTAAAGACTGCTTCCTCCCTTCCCCCCCCCCCCCCACACACACTTTTGATTAAAGTTTACCTCTTGGGCTCTTCTCAGTGAGAAGTTCTCCTCCCTTTTAAGAAGAGTAGGCTTTTGACACAAGTAATTTAAACAGTGCATTGGTCAACCTTTTATTTCTGAGGAATGGGAGCTATTTTGAGAATTCTCAAGCTAAAGAAATTTAAAAAGGTAAATTACTTGAAGAAGTGAACCATGTAGGAGAAGGGAATCTGTGCTCCTTGGGAGGAAGTTGCCAGCAGTTAGGTCTTTTAAGAACCACTTCTAAGAATACAGCTCCTTCTTCATATTTCCTACTTCTCATCTCAGAGATATATTTAGGTCATTATTGAAACTAGTCTTGAGATACTAAAACAATTAAGCAGTGAGTATTGTACAAAATTAACCTATGTCTAAATATGATTCATTCTGAGAGTTCCTATCCTATATATCCGTGTACTCCATTTAGCACCTATTTTCTGTGCAAAGACTAGTCTTTTTCCAGATATACAAATGTGGTTGTACAACTTTAGGGGCTCTATGTATATACAACTCTATGTACATAGACAGATGATGACCGTAAGACAAATGTAGTAAATATGTACTTACATTTTCCTAAGAAAATTATCAGGATAATGAGATAAGGAGAGAGTTCCAGAAATTTCATACTGCTGACATTTGGAACAATTACTGTGATGTCTGTTTACACTATGAGGTAAGACCAGTCAAATAAAGTGACATTTTACAAAAATTTTGCCGCAGGAAAAGTCTAATCATAATGGCTTTTTAAAATGCCATGACAGAATTCTTATTCTGAAATATTATTCTTAGAGGGAGGAGAGTTTCCTTTGTTCATTATCCTGAAACCTAACTACATAGAAAAAATCCTCAAAAGTCTATATTTTTAAATGTGGAAATTTTAATATACTAGTAGTCATTTTTAAAAAAATAATTTTAGAAGGTATCAAGGCTTCTTATAAATAATAATTTTTCAGATGTAAATGATATATCTGAATATCTTCCAATATCTGAAGTAATAAAATTCCAGATTAAAAGCTTCTTTGGCTTGTAATATTTTCTACATCTATCTGAAGTAGTCTTAGAGTTTTAGAGAGAAATTATAGGTTCTTGAGATATCAGTGGGGAAATAATGACAAAGAAAATGTTTGAATTTTCTCTTTTTCCTGAATCTCCTGATTAACTCTGAATTTGCCAGAATAAGTTTATTGCATTCTGAGGTATACATTTTTACATGCTGCTGTGATTGAGGCAGGCTTTCTTCTGCAGTTTCAATTGTGGTAACTTTTCTGACAAGTAAAAGGGATGAAATTTGTATTTACAGTTATTTTTCACATAAATGATTAGCTCTCTACTTCCTTTATATCCAGAGCACATTGAAATGCATTAAGTAACTTTTTTAAGTGTTTGTCATTAATTTATGGATGAGGAAAGAAAATAGATATATTAACAGGAAAGACACTAAGGAGTGACCCGTGGCTCAGAATGCCAGACTAAGCTTGTCTGTGTTGAGATCCACTGAAATGTAAGCATAGAAGTCTCATTAGGAAATAATCCTGTAAGAGGGAAGGAAACGGAAAAGGATGGTACCAGTGAATATGAGATTTAAGCAAACATATTTAAATCAGAAACCAAACCCAAGTTGTTTTATCAATAAAACACAATATAATGATCAGCTGAAAATAGGCCTACAAAGGGCTGCAGAGGAACCCATCTGTTCAACATCAAAGTAACATTCACATTAGGAGCACCTGGGTGGCTCAGTCAGTTAAGCATCTGACTTCCACTCAGGTCATGATCTCGGGTTCTTGTGTTCGAACCTCACATCAGGCTCTGGAGCCTTCTTCGGATACTGTGTCTTCCTCTCTCTCTCTTAAAATAAAATTAACATTTAAAAAAAAGTAACATTCACATCAGACTCTGGGAAGAGCTAAAGAAAAGGCAGTTACATAAAGAGAGTTAAACCCTTACATTTTATATCAGGGAGTTATTATCTAAAGATGAAAATGCAATAAATAAAGTTTATAATGATTATTTGATCTAGAGTTTGTAAAAGTGATCTCCAGGACTAAAAATCTTCTATACTTTTTTATATTTGTTACTTTAATAAAAATGCAAAGCTGAATTAAATTACAAAATAAAGGCAGAGAGTGCTGCATTTCAGAGAGTGTGAAAGGGACTGTTAGTCAACACATTATATATAGAACAGCTTGGATTAGTATTGGAAAAGACAACACTCAGTATTGGACCTAACTCAGCGCCAAAAAGTCAGAAAGTCATCTTAACTAGAACAGAAGGGATAGTTTGGGGAGTAATGGAAAATTTTAAAAGTGAGGCACGATAATCATAGCTGATAAAAAGGTTTGAAGGCATCATTATCTTTTTAGTTGTAACTGAAGGCAGACTTTTTTTTTTTAACATTCATTTTTGAGAGACAGAGCGTGAATGGGGGAGGGGCAGAGAGAGAAGGAGACAGAATCTGAAGCAGGCTCCAGGCTCTGAGCTGTCAGCACAGAGCCGGACTGGGGCTCCAACCTACAATTGGTAAGATCATGACCTGAGCCGAAGTCAGACACTTAACCCCAGGCAGACTTTCAAATGTGTGGGAAATGTATCAGATTTTAGGTCTGTGATTTTATTTTATTTAAAAAAAATGTTTATTTATTTTGAGAGAGAGCGGGTGCGTGAACTGGGAAGGGGCAGAGAGAGAGAGGGAGAGAGAGAATCCCAAGCAGGCTCCAGGCTGCCAGCACAGAGATCTATGCGGGGCTCAGTCCTAAGAACCGTGAAATCATGACCTGAAATCAAGAGTCGGAGCCTCAACGGACTGAGCCACCCAGGCGCCCCTAGCTCTGTGATTTTAGAAAGCCTAGTTCTTTTGTTAGAAGTGTAAAGTTCTGATCAAGCCACTTTTTTCTTTGCCTTCCATCCTGTAAAATGGAACTAATAATAATACCCACTTACCTCTAACCCTCAAGACATCTATGAAGATTAATGAAATAAAACCTGTAAGGTAGTTTTAACTCTGAAAACTCCTGAAAAGCATTACTGCAGGCACCTAATATTATCACCCTATGTTATTCTAGGCCTTTCATACTTAACTTGAAAGTTTAAGTTATGTTGTGCATCGCTTCTACAGGATGTTGTGTGCGTTACCAACAGCGCATGCATATGCGCATGCACACATGCAGGTGTGTGCGCACACATGCAGTTCTTTGTCCATTGAAAACTTGTAGGAAAGTGCAATTGTGATTTACTCTCTATCACTAGGTGCTCAAGAAGGAGACAACTTTTTAATACCTGGGAAGAAATCACTGTGTAGGAAGTATGACTTCAGAGTAGCTGAGTTAGCCTGGAAGTTAGTGGAGGAGATGCTAGCAAATGATGGTACACCTCCATTATGAAGGGACTGTACAGGTCACACGTAAGAATTGAACAGTGTAGGAACTGTGTGCCATCTTTGCACACATTCAGTCCTATGACAGTTATTTGCCTATGCTTACTTTGTGCCAGTCACGTCAGGAAACAAACCCAGACACAAGTCTCT